TGTTTTCCCCTGAAATTATTAATAAGTTGATGCTATGCAAAAGACTTGCATGGAGTGAGACTTAATAGTAAAGAAGAGAGTTAGAGAATACCAGCAGCTACCATAGGGAGGAAAGGGTAAAGATGTGGAAAATAGTTATAAATTAGACTAATAAATTTATGTGCTTTGTACTCAGCAAAATGTTGAAAGCAAGACATTGTTTTCTATGAGAAGCATGATGCATTCTTCATTTCTCTGACTCTGCTTCCCACTGTTTTGAAATTCAAGACTAACTGGAGTCATGTAGGTAGTACTGTTTCTGCATGAAATTCAATTAAAAGTAGCAGCACTCATTGGCTCTTCAGCTACAAGCTTCTAACATTTAATCTTGGAACCTCATTGATGTAATGATAGTGCTTACAAGTTGTTTACATGGCTTGTGGATTGAATATTAACACTCATGTGGGGTTAATATTAAACATAAAGTAACCCATGTCTCTGGAAGCCAGATAGGGTTGGATTTTCTGCTGAGACCACTACAAGAAAAACCTGTTATATAATCATAATARAATCTCAGAGATTTTGTGGCTTTAGTTCCAGACCATGATAATAAAACTAATATAAAGCAAAGTGAGCCACACAAAATTTTTTAGTTCTTCGGTGCATATAAAAGTTATGTGTATATAATATTATAGTCTATAACTTGTATAATAGCTTTATATCTAAAAGTATACATACCTTGATTAAAAATACTTTTTTGATAAAAATTGGTAATGATCATCTGAGCCTCAAGGAGTCATAATCTTTTGACTGTGGAGGCTCTGTCATGGATGTTGATGGCCWCTGATCAGGGTGGTGGTGCCTGAGACATTTCTTAAGATAAGACAACAAGCAAGTCAATGAACATATATTATCTTCTGTTCTTGGAAGATTTCCGTCAAGCATTCAATGATGTTTGATCATATTTTAACATTAATAGAACATCTTTTGAAGCTGAAATCTATCCTCTTCACTGCTGCCACCAATTTAGCAACTATATTTATTTAGTATTATTATAAACCCTTTAACCTTTGTTGTCATTTCAAATGCACAGCATCGTCAACACTATGAATTCCATTTTAAGAAACTAAATTYCTCATGCATTTAGATTTTTTTTCATTAGATTGCAATGATTCTTAAATCACATCCCCAGGCTTCAYTTCAGATTCTAGCTCTTCCTCTACTAATGTCTTGAACCCTGCACCCACCCTCATTAAAATCATCCATATGGGTTTAAAGGAACTTTCCAAATTCCTCTTTTTTTTTTCCTTTGTACTAAGTGCCAGATTCCTCTTAAAGTTGCTATTTTGACCTCCTCCTAGCAATTATGAATGTTACGGCCATCTGGAATGGTGAGTCTTCTCCAAAAGGTTTTTGACTTTCTTTGCTCAGATCCATTAGATAATTAACAATCTGTGACAGTTATAGCCTTAGGAAGTTTATTTCAGAATGATAAKATTTGTAAGTTAAAATCATTCCTTGATACACATGCTGCAGAATGCATGTTGTGCTAACARGAATAAAAACCACATTAAACTTGTATATCACCAGACCTCTAGGGTGAYCAGATACATTGTCAACAAGCAGCAATGTTTTGAAAGGAATCTTTTCTGAGTGGTAGGTCTCAATAGTGAACTTAATGCATTCAGGAAATCATTTTGTTAAAAAAAMCCCAAAAAACCTTTGTCGGCAAAGCATTGTTGTTTCATTTACAGAGCACAGAGTGTATTTAGTATAATCTTAAGATTCCAAAGAGTTTTCAGAATGCTAAATGAGCATTGGATTCAAATTAAAGTTATCAGTTATATTAACCCCTAACAAGAGGGGAAGCCAGTCTTGGAAGCTTTAAAGCCAGGCACTGACTTTTCTCTAGCTATCAAAGTCTTAGATGGCTTCTTCTAATAAAAGCCTGTATTGTCCACACTTAAGGTCGGTTGCTCAGTGTGGCCACTTTTACCAAAGAGAGTAGCTGATCTTCTAGATAACTTGCTGCAACTTTTTCATCAGCACTTACTGCCTTACCTTGTTATRGAGACAGTTTCTTTCTTTAAATATCATGACCCAACTTCTACAAACTTCAGATATTTCTTTTGTAGCCCCTCTCCCAGACTTCATAGGATTGAAGAGAATCTTGTTCTGAATTAGGCTTTGGGTTAAGGGAATATTGTGACTGGTTCGATCTTTTATCCAGACCACTAACACTTTCTCCACATCAGAAGTAAGTCTGTTTTTATTTATAACATTCACTGGAGTTGCACTTCTAATTTCCTTCAATAAATTTCCGTTTGCATCCAAGACTTGCTTGGCTAACTTGCACAAGAAGTCTCAGTTCTGGCTTCACTTGTTTCTTGACATTCCCCTTTCCCTCAGCTTAATCATTTCTAGCTTTTGATTTAAATCAAAGAGAGGTGTGACTGTTTCTTTCACTTGAACACTTATAAGCCATTGTGGGGTATTAATTGGCTTAATTTTAATATTGTTGTGTCTCAAGGAATAGGGGGCCTATGGGGAGGAAGAGTGAGAGGAAGAAATGGCCAGTTACTAGAAGAGTCGGAACACCTAACCACATTTATCACATTCATGGTCTTATATAAACATAGTTTATGTCACCACAATTACAAGAGGGATAGCAAAGATCCTAGATCACAGATTACCACAATAGCCCCAGTAAAAACAATGAAGTTTGAGATAATGTGASAGTTTTCAAAATATGACACAAAAACCCCAAGTAAGGACACACTATTAGAAAAAATGGTGTCATGTCAATAAACTCACTTGATGCAGTGACCACAAACCTTCAAGTTGTAAAAGACACAATATCTGCCAATAAAATGAAATGTAATAAAATGTGATATGCTGTACTCGTGATAAAAATTATTAAAAGCCTAGATTAAGGTAAATATAGTAAAAAGCTAGTTTCCCATTAGCACAGATTACATTAATTCCATAAATGTAGAGAAGAAATAACAGGACACAGTTAAATAACAGGACACAGAGCGCTCCAGAAATCTTCATTTTCATTTGTGACTGAAAGCATGGTTCAGCCTGTAGAACTTTCTCAGACCTAATGCAAATCTGTGGGACAAATTAGGAAGTGAAGGTGATATCCAGACTATACAAATAATCTAAGACCTATTTGGTTATCTAGATGTCAGAAGAAAAATCAGCTGGGCATGGTGGCACATGTCTATAATCCAAGTGACTTGGGAAGCTAAGGCAGGAGGGTTACAAGTTTGAGGTCAGCCTTAGCAATTTATTGAGGTCCTAAGCAACTTAGTGAGACTCTGTGTCAAAATAAACTGTACAAAAGATGAGGGATGTGGCTCAGTGATTTAGTACCCCTGGATTCAACTCCCAGTACCAAGAAAAAAAGAAAGAAAGAAAGA